CCGGGCTGCCAAGTAGCGCCCGGGGGGAGGCCGGGGAGAGCACAGCGGCTCTGCGAGGGGGCTGGGCCGGGGGCGTAAAGTAAAAGCGCCGAACAATAACGGAGCCTCGCGGCTGAAGTCGAGGTGATACGTGTATTGTGATAACTTTAGACAGAGAGGAGCGATGGCCGCTTGAAAGAGGAGCCCGCGATCATTCACATCTCTCTCACACACACATACATATATATAGCTGGTGATTTGAGAGCAGCCAAGACACCCCTCTCTCCGGAGACATTTTAAATACCTTTCTACTGAGTTACAGTGGGTGTTTTATGTACGTGTTCTGCCCAGAGTGACTGCAGCAGCAACCTACCAGCGTATGAAAGTCATGGTGACAGCGGGAGCTCTCCTGGCCGGACGGACAGCCATGGGAGCACGGTTTAAGATGAGCACTCCCTGGCTCAAAAAGTATCTCCCGTCAGATTTTGAAGACCACTTTTCTGAGAAATTAGTGTTTTGCCAGGAGAATGGGCAAAATGGCACCAGTGGCCACTTCCTTCTGTACATGTAAAGACCGTTCGCTCCCACAGTGTGGAAGTTTTGCTGGTGCTTCCAAAATGGGTAGTCAGGAAAGACCATGGTGGCTGAACGGGGAATTTATGGTACTCATTGGACTTAAATAAGAGTAATGAATACTGCTCCTGGAGATGAGGAGAATCCTAACGCATTTTCCAAACATTCATCAACTAAGCCAGTTGGGGCCAAACTCTTCTGGTGGCCAGTAACAGAACAAGGGGTAATGTTACTGGTGGCCAGTAACAGAACAGGGGGTAATGGGTACAAGTTGAAACACAGGAAGTTTCACCTCCATGTGAGGAAGAACTTCTTTACTGTGGGAGTGAAAAAGCCCTGGAACAGGCTGCCCAGAGAGGCTGTGGAGTCTCCTTCTCTGGAGATCTTCCAAACCCACCCGAACACCACCCTGTGCCCCGTACTCTGGGTGTCCCTGCTGGAGCAGGGGGTTGGACTAGATAATCTTGAGAGGTCCCTTCCAACCTCAACCATCTGTGGTTCTGCAAAGCCTCCGTGCCATGGAGAGGACTGGCCTCGTACGTGTCCGACTGTTCATACAACCCTTCAGAGGCAGAACGAGGCACCAGGCTCCTCCATCCAGCTGTCCCCCTTCTCCATAGCGAGCTGCAGCTCTATCATTATACATTGATGGGCTGCAAAATCCGATGGGAGTAATACAAGCTGAGCTCTCATTTCTAGCTGTCACAAGCAGCAAGGGTTAATAAAAGACATCTGTATTCCTTGTGATAGCTACAGATAAAATTTGGGCATGCTATTTAGGCCACTGTCTTTCTCCCAGAAGTGCTGTCCCACATTCGAACTAATTAATAAGAAGTTCCATGCTGTATAACGACTGTAGGATCAAGATCATGTTTAGAAATTGCACAACCTTAAATAAGTCTATTGCTGATGTTCTCATTTGCTGAAGTTTGTTGAGTTCTGTTAAGAGCTGTCTTCTCAGAGGACTCCAGTTGAAAAGTGATAGGCACAGATGAAATCTTTCTCCATCCTCTGCCAAAAAAAGTTTGATTCTTCATATCTCATGTTTACAGCAAATATTCCTCTGCCCCTATACATTAGTAATTAAACTTCCTAACTTCTTTCTAGCACAAAATCCAATCTATATTCAGCTGTAAATGATAGTATTGCTTTCCTGTTCATTCTAAAACAGTTGAATACTGGGTCTTTATTCAGGAGGAGGTATTATACACTCTCTCCTATAGAAAAAGTGTGTGAATTTCTAATCAGTGTCAAAAAGCCTCAGGGGCTTCAGCCTGTGGTTTTCAGATCCAGGAGATGCATCGTACAGTCCAGGAAAGGTAACTGGGAGACATAAGTTCATCATCAGTTGGCTTAAATTGTCTCCGTAGAGAAAATTTAGCTTTGCAATACTTAGGAGTAACTGAAATTGAAAACACTGCTCTAAGCAGCTGCAGGCAATCAGCGGAAGGGTCCTTGTATACAGGACCAGGTTTGTGTATACAGGTAATATCTTTTATTGTGCCAAATGGTATAGGAAGAAAAGCAGACAGACCTCTGTGCCAACAAGCCCTTTTTTGGGTCCAAAGCAGTAACTATTAAAGCAAAAGGCTTATTGAGAACAATTGTTCAGAGCTTATATATCTGTGTAGCAGTGAGGACACCTTTGAAAGAAAAACTGGAAACAGTGGAATGGAGGGAGTGCTGTGGCAAGGATAAAAGAGAGCAGAGAGCTGCTAAGTTCATGTAAGTTCCTAGAACTTGCTGGTTTTAATGATTTTTCACATAACAGAAGAAAAACCTACATGGAAAAAAATCTTCCCAGAAGCACTTGTCCTACATTTCAAGCACCCCAAACCACAAAACTCATCATTAGAAGTGTAATTCTCAGATGAGCTTAGAGTGTGCCTGAGCAAGAAAAGTATAATGTGTTGCTGCCTATCCACCGCTACTGCAACGAATGCTCCCTGCCATAGCGTCATCAGCATCCCGGGATCTTACAGCTGCGCTCCCAGGAATGTGATGCACTTCATCCTGCTCAGGAGGGCCTTCCTGGTGGATACGAGCGCTCAGCACCAGCACGAGCTCCCACAGACAGCCTCTGGAGGCCCAAAACATTGTGCTGCCAGTGCCTGGAAGTTTCTCACCAAACAGACATTCTCCCTGTGATCTTTCAGACCTGATCCTTCAGGGAAGCTGACAAGACATGCCCTACGGAGGTGAGCGTGGAACGAGCTGTGCTGAACACCAAAACCGTGGGCTCCGCAGAGGTGCTGGTCTGGTAGCACGTGACGATTCCCCTCTGCTTTCATCCCCTGCTTGCCTCTGTTTGAACTGACAGGCTGTGAGCTAATTGTGCCTCCTTTTTGCTTAGCTGCCAAGTACCACTTTCCCTTCCCTCCACCTGCATCATTAACATCCGCTCTATTCTATAGGTACCGTCTTCTTCCTTTCAGAGCTGGCTTAATTATTAAATCTCTTAGGAAATGTTAAGCAATTGTCTTAACTGACAGCTGCTGCTTCTGTTTCTAATCTGACAAAAAGCTCATATGGCCAAAAGCTTGTCTGTGTTTGTCAGTTATACTGCTTGGTCTAATAAAAGATATTATTTCTTCATACAACCCCTGCACATTGCATCCACAGAAAACTATGGTTGTATTTCTGTCTGATTTTTATAACGATTCTTATGTTTTCACCATGGGTGAGGGGGAAGAGAGGAAAAACTGGCCTGGACACGACCTTTCATTTGCTTCAGCACAGCAGTAATTATTATATCCTTATGTTAAACAGAGGTGTTTTTATTTTTATTATTATTTTTATTTCCCTTTGCAATGGAAATACAATCTCTCATCCCAAGAGAATTTGTGCATTTAAAGTGGAAAAAAAATCTTTGAAAAAATCTTTCATTCTTTGAAATGAAATTCAACTTTTACTTCAAAACAATATGTTACATTGTTACTGGTTACAGTAGCCGCTGGAGGAGACCAGGAATCTGGCAGGTGGGAAGAGCACCAAATTTTGTCCTTCTAACCCTCTCACGTGCCTCAGCTCTGGAGCTATGAAGATAAAATGCTGGAATTTTGCTGTCCATCCACATTTTCTTTTTTTGTTGTTTTTTGTTTTTTAATTGTTAGGAGGCAAGAGGAGAAGAACCCCACAAATCTGTGGCACAAATGAAGCTTTCTAAATTTTGGAAAGAAAAAGCAGAATGTAGTTGCACTATTTTCATGTTTTCTGGTAAGTGACTGACAGAAATAGGATAGGTTGCACTATTTCTGCAGGATTTAAGGAAAACTTGTTTCTGTAGAGGAAATGATTCCACTTTATGTTACAGTTTCATGTCTGTATGTTACAGTACAATATAACCACAAAGTGAGTTTGTAATATGGT